GATATAAACGAGCAACGATTTATCAGTTGACAAATTTATTATAAAAAATTCATAATTAAACACGAAACGTTTCGACGCTTACTGCAGTCCTCTTCAGTCTCAAATACATAAAAATATCAAAATACATATAACAAATCAAATAATCTATGAGCTTTAACTCAGATGTCAAATGTTCTCTCTTAGTCAATCATAGAATAAAGGAAAGAAAATTGTCAAATAAAGCTGTTTCCGCATCGTGATTCTATGGAACCATTAATAAAATTAGGAATTAAATATAGAATAAATAAAACCAAACAAAACATGAAGGTATATCTAACTTACGTAAATTTCAGATGCCCATGTGCAACTTCCTTTCTTTAATAAAATTATTACATTATTACAACAGAGATACATTGTGTGCAAAAGACAGTAACATGTATCATTTGTATAAAAGATTTGATATCAACAGTCGGCGCCAAGTTAAATTCTACCAAATTAAAAAGTAAAACACAAGTGGTACCTTTAATCTTTAAGAACCCATATAGTACTATTATTTAAATTCTACTAAATTAAAAAGTAAAATCCATGTGGTACTATCTTTATTTTCATACAATGAAACCTAAGTATATGCCTTTGTATTCTTATTAGAAGATCTTCCTGTTCGAAACCAAGTGATTTAATTCTTCTTTAAAATAATTATATCACAATTAATTTTTAAAAACAAAATGAAAAATATTTATTTAAATAGAAAAATTTTTTATGTAAAAACACTTCGCGCTGCTAGTTCTCGATCTCGATGTAATAAAATACAATAATAAAGATAAAAAACATTTTCATGAGAATTAAAGTATTTAGTGTGTATATATTCGTGTATATGTAGTAGTAGTAGTAGTAGATAAATGCAGGTGAGCTTAACTAGCCTACTAACGCGACCTAGATCCATGAGATTCCATTGTCGCTCCTTGCTTGTTTCGTATGTCATTCAGTCAAGCCCAGCCTCGTGTCACTTACCAGACTTATTAAACTGCTCATCTTCGCATTTTCTAGATCCTTGGGTGTCATAAACATATGTCCTCAGGATTTGTATCTTTTACAAGCGAGTGCAGGGCATCGGTACAGTAAGTGCAGGTTGTCCTCGCCTTCTTCTCCACATAGCCGGCATTCTTTCTGCTCCGCTAGTCCTAGGTTGAATATAGATGTGCTCTGAGGGGCAAGTGTCCTGTCAGGAGGCCTATGCCGCTCCTCAGTTTTGCTTTTCCCATTGCCAGCAATTCTCTAGTTCTTGCTGGATTTGGAAGTTTCATGAGTTGTTTGGCTCATTTACAGTCCTCTGCCCCCTTCCAGGAGTTCGAGTGCTCCCGTTCAAGCCACTCTTTGATCCTTTTTGTTCCTGCTGAAAATCGTCCCCGACGATTCGTTCAGCCGGGACCTTTTCGGTGCCCAGCTTTGCCAGCTCGTCCGCTCTCTCATTTCTAGGTATACCCTGATGTCCAGGGACCCATACTAGGGTTACTTGGTTTGTAACCCCTAGTGTTGTGAGTGCTTGCATGCAGTCCCATACCACAGATGATTCTGTGGAGGTTCTTGCAAGTGCTTCGATAGCCGCTCTGCTATCAGTGCGTGTATATGTATGTGCGAGTGAGTTGTATCTCAATCCCAATATAATAACGTCATAATAAAATTATATATGGATGTAACATTTTGTATAAAAGAGATTAGAAGCTACGAGTGTTAAAGTATATGCAGTCTGTATGTATATTCGCATACAGTATATGCGAGTGAAATACATAAAAAAAGAAAAGTAAGTTGTATTATATATTTATTAAATGTAGCATTTCGAATATGTTTACTATAATTTTTAAATTATCATTACCTTTACATATATTTGTATTAATTATTATAGCTTTTAGATAGTTTTCATTGTTTTTCTTATTCGCTCTAGCAGCGCGAAGTGTTTTTACATAAAAAATGTTTCTATTTAAATAAATTTTTTTTATTTTGTTTTTAAATTAATTGTGATATAATTTTTTTAAAGAAGAATTAAATCACTTGGTTTCGAATAGGAAGATCTTCTAATAAGAATACAAAGACATATACTTAGGTTTCATTGTATGAAGATAAAGATAGTACCACATGGGTTTTTAATTTAGTAGAATTTAAACAATAGTACTATATGGGTTCACTTAAAGATTAAAGGTACCATTTGTGTTTTACTTTTTAATTTGGTAGAATTTAACTTGGCGCCGACTGTTGATATCAAATCTTGTATACAAATGATAAATGTCATTAAAATTAAGTAAGTAATGTGGTAGAATAACTTTTGGCGCGACTATTGATATCAAATCTTTTATACAAATGATACATGTTATTAGAATTAAGTAAATAAAAATAATATTACGTAGGTTTGTAAAGATGGTTCTACTAAACAGCAAATGTGATTGGTCAGTTTCACAGTCGATTAAGTAATTGACGTTGGTGGAACTGGGCCAAATGGTTTTTTGACCATCAGCACCCACTCTTAGCTCTTTTTTCTACCTTTTTTTTAAAAAGGTAAGTTCATATATACATACAAATGATAATATATATTTATTAAATGTAGCATTTCGAATATGTTTACTATAATTTTTAAATTATCATTACCTTTACATATATTTGTATTAATTATTATAGCTTTTAGATAGTTTTCATTGTTTTTCTTATTCGCTCTAGCAGCGCGAAGTGTTTTTACATAAAAAATGTTTCTATTTAAATAAATTTTTTTTATTTTGTTTTTAAATTAATTGTGATATAATTTTTTTAAAGAAGAATTAAATCACTTGGTTTCGAATAGGAAGATCTTCTAATAAGAATACAAAGACATATACTTAGGTTTCATTGTATGAAGATAAAGATAGTACCACATGGGTTTTTAATTTAGTAGAATTTAAACAATAGTACTATATGGGTTCACTTAAAGATTAAAGGTACCATTTGTGTTTTACTTTTTAATTTGGTAGAATTTAACTTGGCGCCGACTGTTGATATCAAATCTTGTATACAAATGATAAATGTCATTAAAATTAAGTAAGTAATGTGGTAGAATAACTTTTGGCGCGACTATTGATATCAAATCTTTTATACAAATGATACATGTTATTAGAATTAAGTAAATAAAAATAATATTACGTAGGTTTGTAAAGATGGTTCTACTAAACAGCAAATGTGATTGGTCAGTTTCACAGTCGATTAAGTAATTGACGTTGGTGGAACTGGGCCAAATGGTTTTTTGACCATCAGCACCCACTCTTAGCTCTTTTTTCTACCTTTTTTTTAAAAAGGTAAGTTCATATATACATACAAATGATACATGTCATTAGAATGAAATAAGTGTAAGGATGTTCATCTCGGAAACTAGTTTTTTACCATAGTAAGGTTCTTCATCTAGAATTTCTACGTTGTCCCAATGAAAATCATGATCGAATTTTAATATAGTCTGTTACGACAGAACGAGCAGAAGTACCATATTCCATCTTATATGATTTCGAGGTTCTAAAATTCTTATTTTTAATTATCTGTTCGTCAGTCCAACGTACGTTGCTTCGCAATCATTGTAACTTATTTTATATACTAACGTTATTTCTTGATAAGTGGGGACGTGGATCTTTATGAATCTTGATAAATTGTAATTTGTTTAAGCTATGGAATGCAATTGTCGATATCTCTCGAACTGCCCTCAAACTACACATCAAAATCATCACTTTGAAAGCGTCGAAACCATTCTCTGCATGTTTTATCGGAAGGAGCACTATCATCATAAACTTCTACAAGCATTCGATGAGCTTTAACTGCAGTTTTCTTCCATTTGAAGCAAAAGATTGACACTTCGCGCAAATGACACGTTTATTTGGCTCAAATTTCGACATTTTCGATGCAATAAGAAACTATGTTATTGTTTGTTGATGCAAACGTATACTTTTGCATACTGAATTTTATTGACAAATGATAAAACTAAAAAATTTAGCTTGATTTAGACATTAGAGTTATCGACAGTTCCAGCTATAGATACTCGCCGCTAGATAGACGGAACTTTTCGATTGACCTAATAATTATTTTTATTTTATATAATATAAGTATCTTGGCCGATAAATTTAAGTATATAATAGTAAATATTAATACGGGATTTTTGTTATTTTTAATTAAACTTATTTCATAATTCACTTTTCTTCTTTTTCTTTTCAGTTGAAGAAAAGGGGAAATCAACTGTGCAAGAAGCTCACTTGAAAGGAACACACTTATTGTCATATGCACGCATCCACACATGTGCACACATACATACAATTTATTTTAGCAAAAGATATATTAGGTATCTTATCGGTACTTATATTATATTATCTATATTTTTGCAGTTCTATTTTGTAGCAATTTTTATAGCGCACCATATAATACAAGCAATTAAATTCACTTCTATTTGTATCTTTTGATTTATTATGTAATAGAATGTTTAGCGTACGCTGAGAAGAACACGATATCATCTGGTCTTAAAATTTCGTAGACGCAAGCTATACTCTCTGCAAGTGATAACACAATAATGTAATATTTAATAATGATAATACAATCCACGCATAATTATTCGTAATTCTCACAAATTTAATTACAATTCGAAATTAAGATCACTTTCGAATTTTATTTAAATTTAATTGCATTCTATATTTTATACACTTATTATAATATTTAATATTTTCGGAGGAAAGAAAAAGTAGAAAACGAAAGAATATAAAGAAGGAAAGAGCACAAAAGAAATATAAAGGAAAAGAAGAAAGAAAAAATAATTTAAAAATTCAACAAAAACTGATTTTATTTCGAAGTATTTTCTATTTTTTCTCTATTCTTTTTCTATTCTTTCTTTATACTTTCTATGCGCTTTCTAAGCGCTATTCAGAACAAAATAAAATACGCGCGATTTAAGGGCGAACAAAGGGAAAGTATGCGGAAATGTGAATGTTTTGTGTGAGCGATGCAAGAGATTTAGTATCAAAATTTACCATCGGCAATACAAAGCCATCGTTGTAATCAGTGTGCTCGCCGATAAGATTGACACGTCCTGGCCCGTACACGCAAACGACAGCCTGCTCGCCGAATTTCTCGGTAAAGGTCTGCAACGCCTTTTCCTTAACGCTATTTACGTGCGGGAGTAGTGTCGCCATGCCGAATTAAATACTTTCTGAACTTTACTCGAGATGCAATTGACGAAACAGAATCACTGATGCTAATGGTTGCGTTTAGCAGACTCAACTGTTGTGACTTGTGGAACGGATCCGTGAATGCTCATTGCTATTGGTATATTCTTTTAGATCATTCAATAGCAGCAACCACTCATGGATCCGCTTCGCAACAGTTGAATCTACTGAACGTGACCAATATAAATCTCCTTACGATGATTAAGGAACTGGAACAACGTTGTTATCAGCGCATCTTATGTTGTTATCTTCGACTAAGTGCTTCAACATAAAAACTTGAATTGGTACACTACACGATGTTGTATATATCTGCAAATGACGTTTAAAATATTATTACACGACGATTATTATATGACATCCTTGAAACGGTTTTTGGCACACATGTTGTCTGAACGAAAGATATAAATTAAAGTAAAATAATATATAAAAAAATAAAAATATATAAATTATGTTATAAAATTATTTTGATAAATATACATGTATATGTATTCTCCATAAGCATCGTTATAGAATATATACATATATACATATACACATACATATATTATGTTCGCACGCATAAGTACAATCACAATAAAAATAATAATTAGAAATAATTATATGTAATATTAAATTCATATTATATTATTAGGTTTACAAATTAGTTCAGTCCGTTTTTTGTGTTTAAAATTTATTTCAAAACAAAATGAATGAACAGATTAATTAAAGCATTTTCCATTGCTGGTTACTACTTTTTCTCATCTCTCAGGCAATTTTCGAATTCCATCTCGAAAAAATGACTCGTCTTTGGAGGCGATCATCTTTTGGAAAACGGACCAAACTAATTTGTACTCCCAAATTACAAAATATTAGATACATATAATGATAATTACATAATGATGAGTAATAATAATATATAATTGTAATAGTGATTATTTTTAATTGGAATAGAACAATTATTCCATTGATTGTTTATTGTTGCGCACGATATAATTAAATAAGATACTATGGCCGGTATTCATAGTCAGTTCTTATTTGAAGACTGTCTTAAGTAATGTCTTAAGATGCTAAAGCGGCCCTCTGATTGGTTCGTAACTCTTCAAAACTGAACTTAAGACGGTCTTGAATATAAGAACTGTCTATGAATACCGGCCTATGACCCCTTTTCATAGAGATAGTAGTATGTACTAGAGTACGCATTGTCGGAAATTTTAGGAGTGGGGGTAATTCTATCTAGAAAAGGACGCACTCATTTGGAACCGTTTCTTCTCTCTCGTTTCGCGCAAGCGTACGAAAAATGGTTACATAGTATATACCGGATGTCTTCCCATAGTCCCTTTGCCAGTCAGTAAAATAATATTACTAGGATGACGTCATCTTACTGACTGGAGAAGTGTTCCCATTCTCGCCAGTAAAAAGTGACGTCAGGATTTGTTGCATTTCTATGCCCTACGCTTTCTACAGTTTTCGTTTCATATTACAGTTTCATTTCATATTTTCGTCATCAGTGATCTTCATTGAATAGGTAAGTAAATAATATATATTCCATGTAGCAATGTTTACTTGCAACTCTGTAATATTGAAGATCGGTACCCATGTCTTAAAATAATTGATCCCGGCGACTAAAAAGGTTAGACAACGATTTCGTTCCGGTACTGAAATATTACAGAGTTGCAAGTAAACATTGCTACATGGAATATATATTATTTACTTACCTATTCAATGAAGATCACTGATGACGAAAATATGAAATGAAACTGTAATATGAAACAAAAACTGTAGAAAGCGTAGGGCATAGAAACGCAACAAATCCTGACGTCACTTTTTACTGGCGAGAATGGGAACACTTCTCCAGTCAGTAAGATGACGTCACTCTAGTAATATTATTTTACTGACTGGCAAAGGGACTATGGGAAGGCAGCCTCCATCACATAGGATATAGAGTAAACCCGGTATATACGCCGCGTCAGGAAATACGCCGCAGAAGTCAGAAAAAATAAAAGGAGTGGGGATAAGATTCCGTCAATTACTTTGTTACATGCCTGTATGGTATATTAGTATTATGTTATGATTTCAGTTCTTTACTGTTAATATTAATGAAATTATTGCGAATTAAATCGATTTTTTACTGTAATAAGTAGTGCCATCATAATTTATAATCTACATAAAATGATTATTATAGAGCGTGTAAAAGACTTAGTGGTTATTTTGCAATACATATGTGTAGAGGAATAGTAAAGCATGTTGTATAGCAAAATACAAGTGCTTTGCTCCTGTATTGTTTGTTTAATTAGTTGTCATATATATCCCATCTATTTGGGATATACGGCATTTTTAGCGAGCGGGATGCTGTGCCGCAGCACAGACGCTCTATTTAAGAAATTTTTGTTAATTCTAACAATTATACATTGCATTAATGCATAAATGTTAATAAATCTTAAACGTTTAAAGAATAATTTCAAAGATTTGAACCTATTTAAAAAAATTGTATTAAATCCTATTTATATTCCAATTTTTATTCTGAACAATAAAAATTGTCATATCCCAGACAGCATGCTTGTCAGAATGAAAACTTTAAGAGAACTTTTTCAAGAGAACATTTAGTTATCTTTAAAATGATGTCTAAACGATATCTCATAATAATTATTTATTAGAGAATCTACCAAGAGAACTCTTTCCCAGATAGCCAAGCAAGATTTAGCATATGGGACAAATTGATGCACTGCGTGTATTGTTTTCAACTTGTGGAAAATTTGCTGTCATTGAAATCTAATTGAAACTGAGTTAGCATCAGGAGGGCAAATAGACTTCATGAGTTTATGAAATTGTAAGAATATATATTGAGAAATAATAAACTCGTCACATCGACAGCAAACTGACAGCACACCTTGAACGTAGTGAGCATTCATGATGACAACTTGCCAACAGATTGCTGAATTCTAAGGAAAACTTTACATAACGTCAGGACAACAGACAGTTTGTGGAAACACCTTGGCTTTAGTTTGGTGAAATTCAATGCGAAATAAGTGACAGCAAATTGGCAACATATTGTTCTCATTTGGCTATCTGGGTTTAAGATATCCGATTTGAGAGATGTCTTGAAATTGTTATCTTTATGATGTCATGCTAAATGATATTAGTTTGTTCTCTCATAAAAGATATCAATATGTTGTATGATTTTTGACAGTTCAGAAACGAGACATAATTATGATATCTTTTATGAGAAATTCATTTGATGTTATTAAGAAAGATTCTGTTTCAAAGATGCCAGAAGGTTTGTAGATTATCGCGCCAACGTTCTGTGAATTCATAATCTTGCCATTCACTTCATCAGGGCGAGGGTGCAGTGATACTTAGCAATTTCGGGTGGGACGCACTAGTGTACACTGGTGCATGTTAAGTCCGTGTACAATGTACATGTTCGTGCATATGTTATATCCGTGTACTACCGCGGTGGTAGATTAACAGTGTACAACGGTTTTAATATGCACCAGTGCACACTCATTTTTCCAGCCGAAATCGCTAATAGATACGTATCAGTGCATTCCTCGCCCTGATGAAGTGAACGGCAAGATTAATTAATTCAAACCTGCAAACATAACCTGTAAACCCTCTTTTTAAAGAAATTTATATTTTAACATATAACAGATTTCTTTAAGACATCATAAATATGAATATATATGTTAATCATAAAGATGTCCAATTTAAGAAATCTTTTAAATATCATTTTTGTGACATCTTTCTGTTCTCAAAAAACGACGCATTAGATAACATTCAGTTATCTTTATGTGATCTTTAAGAAGTTTCTCTAAGTTATCAGATTCAAAAATAAGATATCTTTTAGAAACCTTTTGGATAACATATTGTTATTTGGGATATTAATAAACAATGCAAGTTACGTCGTCATTTTACATCTTATTTATAGATTATTTGTGATTTTCTTATGAATTATATACGAGTGGCCATATTATCCCCCCCCCTATGGGATAAATGGCAAAAATGCAGGGGTTTGAAAAAGTTACTTTTTAATATGGAAAAGAAATTATTTTGGATTTCTAATATTTTTTTTATAGTAGTAGATGATACAAAGTTTTTATTTATATGATTAATTTGCTTTAAACATAGTAAATAATAATTGATAAATTAAGTTTTTGATAGGTGCGGCGTATATACCGGGTTTACCCTACTATCAATCTTAATAAGGAAACGAGAATTTGTAGTGATCATTTTACAGAAAATGATTATTATAATTGTGACATACTCCCCCATAAATCATCTAGAAGATTGAAGAGGACTGCTATTCCATCTGTCTTCACGCGAAGGTAATAATATTTGTTAATAAGATATATTGATAGGATATATAATTAATTAATAGAATATATTTTAATATATTAATTTATTAATAGGATATATAATTATGATACTTTATAAATACATATAAAACATCTAGTGTTGAAAACGTTTTCCTAATGTTTTTTTTACAATAGATCTGATAAATGTACAAAGGATGTTCAACATGACAATCATAATGAATCAGTAATAGACATTCAACACGGATCTACAACAGATATTCAACACGGATCTGCAACAGATATTCAACACGGATCTGCAACAGATATTCAACATCATAATAGTCCCACTAAATCAATATTTGGCATCAGTCAAACAAGGTAAGGAATAAATACACATTCTAATTTATATTAGCTTACAAATATTATAAATACTCACATGTTTCAGTAAACAATCGAACAAAATGGACAAGCTGATTATAAAGACTGGGAAATATACTACAGAATGTTTGAGAAGAACCGAGTTTGTTACCAACCAATCATGGATGAAGATGGTAAAATGCATTAATTATTATAGATACTTGAACAAACTTTTGCTAAAGAAAAACGAGCGAATGAAACGCTTACAGAATAAAGTTATTACTTTAAAATTTATAGTACGATCAAGTAAAAAAAATCGATGATGGATGCCTTAAATGT